TAAATCAAATGATCAGTTATTACTTTTTAATTGCTCAGATTTACTTTTACCAAATCTTTTACTTTCGATTATCTTCTTAATTTCATAATACATTAATAAATAATAATAATAATAATAATAGTAATAATAATAATAATAATAATAACATAAATGAAAATGATAATAATAATAATAATAATAATAATAATAATAATAATAATAATAATACTGTATTTGTTGTCGTACTATTTTTTAAGATATACTTTTTTGCTAAAATCATTTTTATACATGCGAAAATCATTGATTGTGTTCCTTAATTATTCATTCCCAAGGATGTTTTTCTGAACTAAATCTGTACTAAAAGATTTTAAAAATTCAAATTCAAACTACCAATTGGATCATCCATGGAAGTATAATTTTATTGGGTGGAATTGAAACAAAAATCACTTCCATTCCAATGCCATAAAGCATAAATGCTATTAAGACGTGAAATTTTTCCTGAAAACGTGAAATATTTCATCAAAACTGTGAGATTTTTAAAAATTCTTTGTTTCTCAAAATAGTTTTTATAGCTGTAAATCAAATATGCAAATGAAAATATTGAAAAACAAAGAAGAAATAGTTATTTTAGGCGCAATTATTTGGTCAAAAAAGTATAGCAAATATTTGCTGAAAAACTATGCTTCCAAAAGGGATAAAATTTCAAAAAGCATTCACAAAAATGACCACATTCATTATTTTACATATAATTTAAATAAATATTTGTTTAAATTTTGTTAAATATTTATGTATTTTTGAGTTTACATGTTATAGCATAAAATTCCCGCAAAAATATTTTAAGAACGAAACTAATTTTTAAATATGAAACTTTTTGTAAAAAAAATTTATTTATTAAATTTAGTAATAGCAAAGTATTATTACTAAATATAATGACTTATATGCAAAATTTAGGGCAAGAATAAAATGATTTATATAAAAATAATGATCAGAATCTATTCTTTGCTGACAATGTGTACAACATTTAAATATATATCGGTGTGCGTTTACGTTTTTATGACTAATTGTTACTTGTAATCCTATTCAAGACTTCGCACTGCTTATTGTATGATTAACTTGTTAATTACTTGATTAATTCAGTAATTTTGTAAAGAATTACCACAAGAGCAAGACTGAATCGATAAGAAGCCTCAGGTATATTAAATAAGTGGCATAAAGTTAAAGTTGTCGTAGTAATAAGTAAGCAAGCATTCACGCAAATAACCAAAAATATATGTTTGATCGAATAAATATTTAGAGCACATTTGAATTCAGCAGTATTCGGAAAGCAGGCAATAGACAAGCTAAGACAGATTATTCCAAAGATCTAAATAACTGATCGTAATAAGTGAATGTAAAATACTAAATAATCATTATTTCTTTGCAAGTACACAAATAAGAAGTTGTTGTTGCAATTGTTTGAAGTATTTAAATATAGAGTGATTTCACATTTATTAAAAGTATTTCTGCAATATACTTATTAATATCACTGGATAAGTTTGTTTGACTAACTTAGTTCGACGTAAAAAGCTTACATTTAATATTTGCAGTTAATTTATTAGAAAAATTAATAAATAAATTCAATTCCAAAACAATTTTTATAAAAGCATTTATTGTTTTTAAAGTATTTTTGCAAGCAGTAATTAGTTAAAATGGAAAATTCGAAATTTTCTAAAAAATTATTTTTCAAAACTTTTTATGCAATTGTATTTAGTTAGCAAAGTTTAAATTTTTTATACGTAAAGTTAATTTTTAATAATAAATTTATTTTTATAATAATATGAATAAAAATTGATAAAAACTTACAATTTGAAGTAATTTAAGAAAGTTTGATGTCTTCTTTAAAAAATTAGCATTAATTCGAGACTTTAATACAAAATGTACTGTCATTGACACTTTTTCTCTTCAACTAAGCAAATACTAATGTCAATTTCTTAGTATTACAAGCAAATAATCTTAAAAATTCCAAAAAGTTGTCATATTTGAGCTAAAACAATCAGAACTGATCAAAGTATTAGCTAGCACTGCCCAAATTTTTTATGCATAAAAAATTTATGAAAATGTAATGACGAAGAAAAAATAGAAGAAAATTCTGTCTGTTTTGATTCATTCAAATTTTTTCTTCCGTAAACTTTTATTTTTGCTTTCTTTTTTTCGGAAGTTAGAAAGTTTTTAAGCAAACTTTTGTTTGGTTTTAAAGGCAAATTATTTTTTTTTACTGTTTTGAGTGTTTTTAAATTTTTTTTATTTTCAAACTTAAATTCATTTATTAATTTTGTAATGTTTTTCTTTTATTAAAATTTAAACTCACACATTCAGTTGTTCAGTGCTAAAAAGTTTTTGCTAATTTTTATTTATATTATTTTAGTTATGATAACTTTCATCTCATCTCATATAAATTAATAATAAAGCAAAAAAGGAAAAAAATTTGTATTTTTTTAAATTTCAAAAAAGCTAAATCTTTTTGAAATTTATGAATTTTTTAATCTTTCTGAAAACTTTAATTTTAATCACTAAAAAACTAGGCAAGTAATATTGTAGATTAGATGAGAGTAATGATCAAATTAGGATGTAGATAAAATAAAGTGCTAAGCTAACTACAATTAGTTATTGTCTAATTTTATATTTATAAAAAATAACAAAAAATTTGCTTGCAAAAATATCTTAAAAATAACATTTTTGCTCGCTGCGTTGTTAGGCGCACTTTTTGAATTTATTTCACAGCAATTATTTGCTTGGCAAATTGCATTTTCAGTTGGATAATTTTATATTTTTAGTTCACAAACACAAACTTTTGCATCAGTCATAATAATTTGAGTCAATTTGTCTACTCTCAACAAATTGGTTTAATATTTTCGAAAAATTTTAAGGTTATAAATGAAAAATTTGAAGTTTTGTAAATTAGCGCTTGATTTTTGAAGACAAATTGTGTCATTCATTCAAAAATATCAACAAAAAAAAAGACAAATTGATGGAAAAAACAAAAAGTCTGAAACATCTACAGGTATGCATTATTAAATAAACATTC